TAGAGTATATGCATGCATACTTTCATTAATTCAGATAAATTGCTAAGGGGTGACTAAAATAAAAATTTTAACTCAGATATCTTAAAAATATTGATATCTTAAAAATATTGTTTTATTATTTTTGGCATTTTATATGTGTGCACACATATAAACATATATGTATACATACATATTATATTATAGTACATCTAGGACCTTCAGTTTCATTGGTTTGGGAACGAACTCAAGGAAATGCAGGTCACAATTCATCTATAGATTATGGTCTCCTAGAGTTGCCTGAGGTTCACACAGGTTATGTAACTCGACCAGATTCACACAGCTAGTAAATATTAAGGGAGAGGTTTTGAATCCAAGCCATGCTGCCTCTCATAGATACATACATCCTACGTTAAAAATTAAGTGGGCTAAAAATTATCTTTCTAAATTATGACAGAGTAATTAGATGCAGTGAACTTGAATGAAAAGAATCTAAAGTTTGGTATAGTAACTTTGTGGGAGTGTTAAGGAAATTCTCAGTAACTGTACTTCTTTAAAGTAAGTTTGTCTCGCTACAGCTGGAGGTTGGCTATATGATGTTAATCATGATATCTTTGCCTGATATCATAATTAGGGAGCTTCTTTCATACCAGAAGAGCTCAGAAATTTTCCCCTTTCTGATCTTAATCACCAAGCCTATTAAGAAGTACAGTAGATGGTATTCCCGTTTTGAATGTAGGAAGGCCAAGGCAAAGAAAAGCTGTGTACTTTCTAATGTTGTGAATGTAAACCCAGGACTAGGACCAAACTTTATAATTGAGAGCTTAGGGCTAGTTCCATTACCCTGTCTTTCTAGATTAGGCTTTGTTGTTTCAAAGAAAAGGTCCAGAGAACTGAGAGCATTCTCTATGTAATAGGAGACCTCCATGAGCCTTCTTCCTTTCATTCACAGGGACAGACCAACAGCAGAAGACTGTCTCTCTCATCCTTGGCTCCAGCAACGGGACTTTGTAGACTTGTTTCATCCTGAAGAAACTTCCTGTTCTTCTCAAACTCAAGAGCACACAGTCAGAAACTCAGAAGACAAAACCATTAAATCTACTTGTAATGGAACCTGTGGCGACCGAGAAGATAAGGAGAATATTCCTGAGGACATTAGTACAGTTTCCAAACGATTTCGTTTTGATGATTCCTTGCATAATCCTCAGGAGCTTGTTCCAGATTTGTTGTGCTAGCAACTTTCTCTTCATCATTTGAACTGAATTTAAAATCCACTGCAGTGTTGCCTATGAGATGTTATGTTTTGTAGCTTCATGTATAATGTGCTTATACTGAACATGCACTTTTGATTTGGGGAAGGATTGAAGGAAATGTGTTTGTGTTAATGTAATGGTTCATAATAAGAGAGCTTGATTCCTGTCCTGGAACCACAGAACTCACCAGAGAAGAAAATTTAAATAGTATATTTGCACATTTCAAATATTACTTCAAAAATAACGTTTTGAACATTTTTGGCTTGTATTCTGTAAATAAGAGAAACTAAGCTAAGTTTCACTAGGTTTGCCAAAGAGTTGCTATACGGTACCAACTAAGTACTTTTGGTAATTTTTTGGCTAGGACATAAATGCAGCAAAATGAAGAAATTGAAAGTTAAGTCTTTTGTCTTCCCCTAAGGTAAATGTTGTGTTATCCTTCTATTAATTGAATTCATTCAGAGCAACATCATCAAAATTAAGCTGTTCCATTTACTGCACTTTCCACCGAAATACCCAGAAGTCATCTTGCATCTGAGAAGAGCATTCAGCCCTTAGTTTTCTGGTTCTGCATACATCATACAGAGAATGTGATATTTTTCTTGATAAAAAGAAATAACAGGAGTTTCCTCTGCAGTTTGTCACTCAAGAAAGTGTTTTGGAAATTGGGTTTTGTAGTCTTAATAGATCTTTCCCTACTCCCAAAATATACCCAATCAAATACAGTTTGGAAGATGGTTACAAAACAGCTGGCAAAGCCTTCTGATGGATGCTCATGAAGATACCTTAGAAAATAGAGTGTTTCCCTTCGTTAAGCAGTGATATCTATTGAGGGTAGAAGAGTATGTGGCCAAATTTAGCTATGGAAGTAAGTAACAGAATCTAGGATGCAGAATAATGAAACTAAGAATCTGAAAACCAAACATTCGAAATACAAATAGGTATGAGAAGAAACTACTGGAGCACAATCTCACTAAAGTACAAATGACTAGAGTCCAATAAAGAGTCAAGCTCAATGGTATTTAAAGTGTTGGGAACAAGCCTCTTAACAATCTTCTGTACACACACAGCTCACAGTGAGTGGTGAGCTTCAGTATGAAACAAATTCCATGAGGTCCTATGGTGGCCTACGTAATAACTGAAGATTACAATACATCACTTTTTTTGGATTTAGCACAGAGATTGTCACCTGGTGTCCTTGATGTCTTCTGAAAAAGATCCAATCAAGGATGGGGGAGACACTTCTCTCTAGCCGATCCTTAAAGTCTACAAAGAGTGGCCTTCATTAGCAGGTATTTTGTCATCCCAGTAGGAAAGCTTAAGTCAAGGTAATAGGAGATTTCATGACCTATTGACCTTCTTACACCATGAAAAAGAGGCCAACTTTTGGCTAAAAATGGTAGACATCTCTAGTTACCTTCCTAGAAGTTTTAAAACACCAAATGTCTCAGTGATATCGCCATTATTACTAACAGCAAAGAGGGGTGGGTCCTTTGGCCTTAAATTTGAATTAATGTTGTCAAGAGTTTTTTAAAGTAGAAATTATGTGTGTTGAATATATGTGTGTAAGTTTTAAATATATAATCATTTACACAACTCTTGATTCATGATAGTTCTAGGTTCTTCAAAGACCTGTGAATCTATTTTATTCAACTCAGGTGCCAAAAGAATTTTTCTCATATATCATGTAAATATATAAAGAAATAGTTTTGAAGAAACAGACTAGAAATTGTAAAAGCTAAAATGGGCATCTTCCCTTCCGATAAAAGCGAAGGTTTATAGTTTTATAATAATTGTTTCCATTGATTTGCCATCAGTATTAAGTTACTGCACTCAAGTGTCAAATAACTTTCATTGGGAAGTGGTTATATGTATCCATTTTCTGTGATCAAATACATGCTCACTTGTCGAGAGATCTCAGTGCACATCAATAAATGAAATAAGCAAGAAATGTAAAATGTTGTAATATTATGAGCACTTAATATGTTTGGTGCTTTTCATGTCAGTTTCCTTTTTTTGCTGGAAGAAGCTTATATTCAGCCAGTCTCTGCTTTTCCCCTCAGCTATAGGGTATGTTGTATATCAAATTTGAAGTTAAATCTTTAAAAGTCTATTTCAATTATTTACTTCATCTCCTAAAATTAATTAAGGTTTATTGTGAAAAGACAGTAGAACTTGAATTATGGCAGCACTTACCATGTAAAATTCCAGTTGTTTCTATAAAAATGAATGTAAGTATTTCCACTGGTGGACAAAGTAAGCAGCACCTTAAACTATTTTCTCACTCCCTATATTGTTTCAGATTAGGTTGAATCCTGTGAAGGTATTATTTTGAAATGCATAATCATTAAAAATTTCTGATTTTATTCCAAGATGTTAAACTTTTAAAGTATCCTACCTGAAGTGTTTAAAAAAAGTTTCATCTTAAATTGCTTTAAAAGCAAGTAAGAGAAAATATAATGAAATAATATAAATATGTTTTATCAAACCATAGTAAAAGAATGTTTCAAAGTTTTACAGGGATTTTTCCCCATTTTAGTTGACTCGAATAATAAATTTTTAGTTGGCTAACTTCACTTCACAAAATAAAGGTTAATATAGTTATAGCTTAAAAATGGACAAAAGCAATTGAGGAGTAAATTATAAAGTTATTGTCTGAAATTTTACTAACACATTTTAAAATTACTTTAAAAAGGCAAAATTGAAATGATACAGAAAAGTTTGTAAAAAGGTTAAAAACATATTTACTACAACATTACAATTTTTTTCATGACCCTCAAGGATACATTAATAATTTAAAAAATTTTAATAGTTTTTTTTTCACCCAAAATGAGCAAGGCTGAATTAGGGAATCATTGAAACTAAATGTCTAATTATTATTCATTTTTCGATCACAGTGACTCCTACAATTCTTATTTCCATTTTCCTTTAAATAACAATGTATTAAAGATGAAAAAGGTAGGTCTTTTTAGTCAAAATGGAGGTCACCTTAACAGTAATAAATATCAGTAATTGCTCAACTGCTCTAAAGTTTAATTCTAAACTATAATAATTTTGCAAAATAAAATTTACTTTCTGAATATGGAGTACAAAGAGTTGGAGAATACCTTAAAAATAGAAAATTAAAATTTTATTATCTATAGTCACTTTGACTTGACTTTCCACAGCAGGTATAAAACATAAAAACAAAGCACTTTAAACATATAGAAACACATGGAATAGCATATTGTCCCCAAAGAACATTTACCTGTTTTTGATGTTTAAAATTGTTTACATTTCTTACTCTATTTTCATTTTAGCAATTGGATTTTCAAATGAAGCAAACACCTAGTAATGGATACTTTTTGAATTGTGTAAACAATTGTAGTTTTATTTCAAAGTATAAAAGCGAAATTTAAATTCTCTGGATTAATGTAAATGTCTAATTTTATTTTATAAGAATCTTTTAGAGTGCTTTAACTTACTGTAAAATATTGTATATAATTCAAGTATAGGTCCAACTGTCCTGTGGTAACTTTTGTTAGATAATTTAAGTTTTTAAGGGTAGAATGACAGATGTGATCAAGTCTGTTCACTTTAGAGCACTGTTCATTCTATGTACTTAATGAGCCTTTTGATTGTAAATTAAATGGCATTTTTTTTGTACCTACATTTGTCTTTATTTCAAAGCAGTCTCAGATATATTTTGAAAAGAGTACTTTTGTCATTTGGGTAGTGATCTTAATTCTTCCCATCCCTGCAGAAGGGTCTATTTCCCACTTCTCAACTAAAGCAGTAGAGTGATTATAAAAAGCCAAATCCTCCCTACCAGAGAAATTGTTTAACTTTGAGACAAATGATAGCTACCCTTTAGTGTATTAGTTAGGTTCAGGAATTCAAGGAACACAGACAAGTCTCATAATTGTTGATCTAACTCTTTGGTTTATTAATGGTCTATAAAGTGATTTAGTATACAAAAAAAAAAACCCAAAACTTGTTTTCCACCTCACTGCCTCCCAAGTTTCCACTTTTGCCTGATCTGAGGAAGTGAGGCCACACGAGTGTTCAGTTAAATCCCAGGCAACCAACCAGTTGTGGATGACCTACAGTTGTTAATGGGGTCTGGGGTTTCATAAAGGAGAAAAAAGGAACTCGTCATGAGGAGGAACACAGACATGGTAAAATGATATTTAAGTGTAGCCTCTAATTCCAAAAGTTTTTATCATCTTAATGGATTTAAGTTCATCTGACTTACTCATGATTACTCAATAGCATGTTGAATGGAAAGGCCTGGTGATCCTTAGGTTTCAGTAGCAGAGCCAATGGGAAGGCTCAGTAGTTTATCTCATGGGTAGAACTATAGTTGTTGACTATTTGCTTGTTAAATGTTGTGAATCGTCATATCTACCATGGCAGCCAGGAGACTAGAGGTCCATAAGTCTTGGGGAAGGAGAGAAAGCAACTGACAGAGTGATGACAATACTAAACAAACAAAATTTGGACTTGGTGGCTGATGCATGAAGGTCAGCCTTAGAGGAGGTGAGGTTTCCCTCTGTTTCTCCTACAGGAATAGGGGTTGTAAGCCAGTGTTCAGGTAGGACAGTTGGGGCAAGGGGAATGGGAGATTCTACATGGCATGGTCCACTGTCCCTTTTGTATTTGAGGGGTCTGGCCAAGGGTGGGCTCCATGTAGGCTAATGCTCTTAAACCATACTCAGTGTGTTGTCTTCCCCAGATTAGAATGTGAGCTCCTTGAAAGGAGAAGCGGTTTTTTATTTGTTTGCATCCACAGTGCTTAACACAATGCCAAGCATGTAGGTTCTACTTCATAAATATATTTTCATTCGTTTCATTCATCCCTTTTGTTAATTCAGTTACATAATAGTTTTGTTTTCAAGAAATTTAATTGCAAACTTATCTTTGTTTCTAATCAAAATGATAGACTAATTCAGGAAGTAAAACTAATCAATTTTATGTAATTATAAATTAGGCTGGAGTCATAGATTTAGCATTAAGATTAAATGTATGTTAGCTTGCAAAGGTATTTTAACTGCAGAACAATTATAGTTAACATTGCTCATTATTTACTCAGAAAACATTTTTTTGAGGTTCACTCTATTTGATACTCAGTTCATCCTTTTTTTCTCTAATACTAGCCTTCATGTCAATTTTTACCAATTTTTAAGCTCTTTGAGGGAAGGGATAATTTAATTTTATGTCTTTATATGTCCAGCACTTTGGTACATCTTAGCAGCTTAGTAAATGCTTGTTGAAAGACAAATAGCTTATATTTCACCATCACCCAGTCTTTCTTAAGCCCACCACCTGTTCTCACCTCTGGCCTAGCAGAAGACTTCACCTTCTACTTTATTGAGAAAATTGAGACTATCTGCCATGAGCTCCCTCTTGTCTCATCTTCTAGGGGGTGCTGACACTCCTGGGCCTCTTGGGTTAACATGACTATCAGCGACAGTCAGTTAACAGTTGGTATTGATGGTGGTGGTGAGGAAGATGAGTCCCCTCTCCATAGTGATTGCACCTCATGCTTGATGGCTGCAGGGGGCTGGTCTAGAAGCAGGCCCAGTGGTCTGGAGGGCATTGGATATTCCAAAGGCTCTTGCAATCAAGCTCTTAGGCTCTCTCCATTGGAGTCTGGGAGGAGGTAATGATTGACAAGGTGGTAATAGTTTGACTTGCCATTTATAATTGCAAGTCTCATTATAACCAATTTTTTCTGTATTAAGTTCTAAGTTGTTTACATTTGTAATTTGTTTAATACTTTTGGTGAACATAAACCTAAAATTACTTATTAAAATGGATAGGAATAAAGCTGCTAAAAAGTTCATACTCTTAACTGAGATATTATAAAATTCACAAGTAATGTAAATATTTTCTTCTTTCTCTACTGATATATTTCAGATATCGCTGGCGTCAGTGTAGTAAAGAAAACATTTCCCTGTTCTTGGGGTCAAATACCCCTGCCAATAGACTAGAAAGAGAAACCACTAATTATGTTGTTCATCTATGATTTAACCAAGGTCATCTATTCTTTTCCTGCTGTATATTGCCTACAAATGCCTCCTGATTGTCATGGCTTTGTTTCCCTAACAGATCTGTCTGTCCTTGACTCTTTTCCTGGGTAGCTGAACAGGAAAATGAGAGAATGCCACAGTTTTTGTGGCATCATCTTTAGAAGACACTATATTTCAAGTGCTGCTATAGGGGTAGTTACCAGGGATGTGGGAGATGTTGTGGAGTAAAAGAAAGCAACAGAGCTGTAATAAAGGTGGAACTGTGGTTTCAGGCACTACATGCATGTTTCTGGGAGAACCCATCTCTCCCTACTGTTACCAAGATGTCTAGCTTTGACAGTACTCTCTTATCTCTTTCAAACAGAACTTCTCTCTCCCTTGGCCTTGGCTTGCAATTAGTACATAAAGTCTCTCCAAGCTTAGCTGTATCCTTTCCGAACTACCACTTAAGTGTTTATCCTTAGAGGTTCTCCCACTTAGAAAGAATATAAGCTCTTGGCTTTGTTATTGGAGTTCTATCTGGGGTAGACAGGGGTCATAGGACTCAGGACAAATTCACCCTCCTGACAGAAAAATTCACTGTGAAAAATCTCTTTTCTTCTTTTCAAATGCCTTCCCTTCCCCGTGCCTCAGCTTCCAGACTAGGGCTATTCTGTATATAATGGGGTTTACTAAATGTCTTCGTACACAGAGTTGTCAAACACAAAGCCCAAGTTAGATTAAAAAGCAATTGGGAAATATTTAACAAATAAACAAAATACAATAGAACATAGATAATGTTAATATTTGGTTTTCTAAGTCAATGTGCCACCTGCATGGATGCTTGTGTATAGTTTAATACCCCAGTTTCTATTTGAGTTTGACACCATTGACCTTACAGATTGCCCTAGTAAGTCAGCGAATGGGTAGGTGTATGCTTGTTTCCTAGGTGGGCCTCCTGTCAAAAACACATGAACAACAACCCCAGAAAACAAACTTTGATTAGCGCATGGTATTTTTAAAGGTAAAATGGTAAAATTTCTTCTTGGCCAATTCAGAATCTTTAGTTTTGTCTGCTATCTATTCCCAGATATCTTTAGGACAGGGCAAAATGAGCAATGCTTCGCATGTGGTGGTTAGGTGAATGAATGAATGTGGAAGGAATATTAGGCACAGTAGAAACAACGGAGTAAAACAAAACAAATATTGTGATACTATTTGTAAAGTGCTTAGCATAGTGCCTGGCGCATAGTAGGTACTATGTAAATGTTGTTGTTATTTATTCCTCTCTTCCATCTTCCCTCCCCTCACTCAGCATTTTTGGCAGTTATATCAAGTTAGAAGACTGAGCTAACAGCTTGAAGTTAGCAACAGTGGGACAAATTTAAAGTAAGGAGAAAAATCAAGTCCACAGCAGTATTGTTACAGAAGGAAGACAAGCCAAGAAAATACAAAATGGCAAAGAGTCAGCTATATGAATGTGTTATTAAAAAAAGACCTGGAGGTCCTAGTTAGTCAGTGACTGAACCAAGAATCAGTAACAGTCTGTGAGTTTTTGGTTTAGTTGTTTAAAGAACTAAAACAGAGAACAAAAATATGATGGTTTGTGGAATGTTCAAATGGGGCAGCTAGGTGATACAGTGGATGGAATGTCAGGCCTGGAGCCAGAAAGATTCATCTTCCTGAGTTAAAATCCAGTCTCAGACACTTATTAGCTATATGACCCTGGGCAAGTCAGTTGGCCTCAGTTTCCTCATCTGTAAAATGAGCTGGAGAAAGAAATGGCAAACTACTCCAGTGCCAAGAAAACCTCAGATGAGGTCACAAAGAGTCAACTAAACAACCTTTCAATTCTATACAAGGTCTATGAAAAAAAAAAAAGAAAGAGTGCTGTGAGACTTAGAGTCCCATCCTTTTTGCTTTACTTTTAGAAAGGGGAACAACTTAAAATGGCAAGAATACATTTTTTTAAAGATTGGAAAATAGATTTTTTAAGTAGGGGGAAGGGAGCAATTATTATTTATTAGCTTGTACAATAGAAATAATTTTAAATTGTAAAAGGATTAATGAAAGGTGGGGATCTCCTATTCTCCAAGGATAGAACTGTAGCAAGGTGGGAGGGCCAAAGGGGAGGAGAGATATGCTTTTCCTAATGTTTTGTAAACTATAAAGCATTATAAAAATGTGAGTTGTTATCATCATCCATTATGGACATAATATATGTAACATATTATATGTTATGTATTACAGTATAAGTATATTACATTATTAATGTAATATAACTATAATGTTGCATGGGTACATATTAATATGTTATATAATAATTAGGTCATATATAATTATATAAGTATATTATCCATCTTAAAAGCAATAATATATGTAACATATCATATCTTACATAATATAATAATCATACATATGAACTATTTTATTAGTTGTGTAGGTAATAATAGCACAGAACACAAGTTCTTCCATATCCTACCAAGCTGGAAAAACTTTGAGTAAGAGTCCTGCAGTAGGCTGTATATCTGTCATCTAAGGACCAGTCTAGCTAAATTGGGAAAGGAGACTCATGGGGAAGTTACTTAACATCTGTGGGACTCAGTTTACTCATCTGTAAAAAAAAAGAGAGGAAGTTATACTCAATGGCCTCTG